CAAACCAGACCCCCAGGGAGATTGGTACCACATTCATTCTATGAAACAAGTAATGATGCTTACAAAATTAACTTTATTTGACCAATCAAGTTCTACGAACGAAAAGATATTTAACAAGCTTTTAATATGTGATTAAGAAGGGCGGGCCTTGTGCAAGCGGTAGAGTCTTACCGCCTGTGACCGGAAGGTCCCGGGTTCGAGTCGCGGTCTCCTCGCATTGCACAGGCGAGGGTAAAGCTTGCCACTGACACCCTTCCCCAGACCCCGCACAGAGCGGGAGCTCTCTGCACTGGGTACGCCCTTTTTAATATGTGATTACATGCTGTACATTACGCTGTCCAGACTGCAAACTTAATCTTTTCCTTTCAACTTTTGTCATACAAAGCGAAAGTAGAATAATATAGGCTAGCAGGTATAAGCCTACAGCCAATATAGGTAACCCATAACTGTAACACTTAACACTTAACTACTCAAGCATAATTGCATGATGATATTTTCCAATTCCAGAGTAACAGCCTAGACCTATTTCACTACTTGCATAGAACTAAACTAGTCAAGTGAACCGGGCCATTCTCAAAAGTGAGAATTAAACGATATATTGCTGGGTCATGGCAAAACTAACTCAACAGCCAATAGTACCAGTAACCAAATACAGAATACATCCATGTTCAGTTGTTCACTGATCATAAATAAAATTATTAGAAAACCTATGCAGTATAACAAAGCATTCCAAGTTCCAACATATAAGAAACTATGGGTACTTGAACATTCATCAAAGGTCAATTACAATGTGAAAGTTCCAGAAACCTAAGTTTAGAAGGTTTCAGTTACATCCAAGCATGCTATCACCAATGATGTTAGAAGAAATTCAGAGCGTCCATAGGTAATTCATACTATTGTTCAAAATCTGTAAAGAATTGTGACATTAAACTAAAAGCCCAACAAAACTGAAGCATCTACCACTCTTATACCCTCTCTTCCCCCAGTAACATAAAAAATCTGACCACACAGAATCTTGAAGCAAAGGTGCTAACTTCAGAGTGCCTTTCAACAACCTGGAACGTAAAATTTGAGACCTAATTACTAGTACTCTTTGTCAAGCAACATTCACAAATGTAATCACTATGGGATGCCCTGTTTTGTGCAAAAGATATGTGTTGACCCTAATTAGGTCACATTTTTGCTGTCAACAATATGCAGAAGTAATTTGTACCACTTAAGGATCAAATCAATGACATACTACAATCCAATAAATATTTTTTCTATTTACTTATGAGGAATAGCAGGAGCAATCCCCCTCATTAAAATTAAGTGAAAGAATCTAACGATCATTAATTATCTTTCAAAAATCAATCATTAGTTCTGAACCAAGTTTTCCCCCTCCAATCACCTCCCTTCCGCGTCAATAGCGACCAAATGCTTAAGTAGAGTATACATGTATGGAAAGCGCACTATTTCATCAAAATGCACCGTGATTTTGAAAAAATCACACCACTAACAGGCCCTTAATTCATACCATCTGCATAGCGCTCGCTGATGAAGAGGGGGAAATCGAGCCATGTCTCTGGCCGCGTGGAGATGTGCCTGACGAACACCACCACTTCCTCGGTGACGCCGGGCACGGGGTCCCCCTCGTCCGCCTCCCCTTGCCCGAACGGCAGGAGCGACGAGGCGATCTTGGAGATCTCGGCGACGGCCAAGTTGTTCTGCAGCATCGAGAAGCCGCTCCGCACCCTTCCGCCTATCTCTGCCAGATCGCTGCGTATCCCCGCAATCCGGGGGGACAGCACCGTGGCATCCTCCCCGTCCTCAATCCCCTCCTCTTCCCCTTGTGCCGGAGTCGCGGCGCGCGGGGTGGAGGCCTCCGGCGGGCTCGGGGGCGGTGCGAGGAAGGAGGCGACGCCCCAGAGGCGGCGGGTGAGCGTTTCGGTGAGCTCGGAGATGTCGTCCTTGACGCCGCGGCTCGGCGTGCCGGGCTGCTCGGGCTCCCCGGCCACAGGGCCCACGTTAGGGCTGCGGTCGCGCGGCGAGGACTCCTCGTCCTCCGGCCCTGCCCCGCTCTGTGCGGAGGCGGGGTCGGAGTCGGCCTCGTCGGCGTCGGAGCCGCGCGGCGAGGAGAGGGTGGCCGCGATGGAGCGCGCGAGCCACGACATGGCGCCGGAGCGTGCGTGCGAGAAAGAGCGCCGCGGGTTGGGTCGGCCGGTCAGATCATGTCAGTCGATGAAAACGGGAAAATCTGCTACGGTACCGTGTACCGTCAGAAAAATAATTTGGAATTTACTCCGTAGAACATAGTAGCAAAATTAACATATAACTAGATATATGCCCGAGGATATTAATTTTTGTCTATGCTTATTTGGACTAATTTGATCTTTATCAGAAAATAATAAAAATTAATAGACTTTTTTGCATTAGAATCCCTAAACTATTTATAAATTCATTGAGGCCTAAAAAGGAACAGTCGAGACCAATTTAGTAGAAAAATAGCATAATGAGCTAGTGTCGAAAGTTGTTAGCATTGGCCTTGCGCCGTGTCTAAAAAACCTTAGGAGACACGAAGGAAAAACTAAGTGTACTGTGGACCTATAGTTTCGAGAACTTACCATTTTGTTGTGGCCTCGGGGAAGCACGGCAGCTCTGCTGCTGAGAGCACGAGAATGAAGTCGAGGAGTGTGAAGCCACACCCTCCGTCTACCGGGGCTGCCGCTGCACGCCCTCCTCGTGCCGAGGTGAATAAAAAACAGATGAGGCCTTCCAATGGTGTCATCCCTTGAAAGTGTTGCCTTTGCGGTCAAGCTCAATGTACGATGTGCCGGCGAAGTGCAGCGATGCTGGCTGCGGCGAGGAAGGATGGGGCAGCGGGAATCCCTCCTCTGTCACATATCAGGGAGGTCCAGAGTCCGTGTGGACGATTCAGAGTGAGCGGGGCGACGGCATCGCTGCGAGAGGGTCGAGCGGGGCGAACGAAGACGATTCCGGTTGGCATTACCTGCAGGCACAAGAAACTTCGCAGTAGATGGCTTTGAGGAAGATGCGGCCGCCGTCGGCGGGGAGGCAATGCGACAGCTTCACGCGGCACTGTGCCTCGGCGTAGCACAGCTGGCGTTCCGTGGGGGAGAGCCGGAGAGGTAGGTCATGCACTGCCGGAGGCTGAACATGGTGTTGTTTCCCTCGCGGGAGCCAGTGGTGCCGAAGCCCGAGCACGTCATGTTCTGGTAAATCATCTTCAGGGCAGTGACAAAACTCACGTCAAAGGTCTCCGCGTCTATCGTCTGCGTCGCCATGCGCACACCGTGTCGAGGATCACCGGCATGTCCGCGTCATCATCAGCACCAGCGGCGACGGCCACAGCGCTGAAGGGGCAGTAGTCCCGTTGTGCTGGTCCTGGCCGCCGCCGCCGCCGCCGCCACCGCTACATTAGCGCCACACAGGAAGTCCTTGCTGTACTGGTGTAAAGTGTATTTGACTAGTAGTGTAGACTATGTTTTTTTTATTTCCATAATATTTGATGTTTCTGTTTGTGCATGTTTGCATGCGGGCATGCAGGGTTTGCAAACGACGCTGCGAACTCTGAAGGGGCGAGCGGTTAAAAACGAAAACGGGTTCGGCGTTTTTTTTTTCTACGGAAGGGCTCGGACGATTTTTTTTTTTTTACCGAAAGAGGTCACAGACGATACTTTACGTATATTTTAGGTGTAGAGATAGAGATGTAATTTAGACCTTGATATATGTGTGTTGACGGGTATTAAATTGATTGATCTATAGATTATTACAAAATTTACAATAGTAATGTTACTGTAACAGCCCAGAGCTGACAAGTTTGTTGAAACTGAAACTTTTGGGTGATTCTTGTGTCGTGTAAATATGTGCAACTCTGCTTGCTCATGCTAATTGCCGAAAGCCTAAGTTTGGTGTACATGCTGAAGGCGGAAGCCGATGCCAGCCTTCACTGTCAGCAAGCTAAAACTTTATGCATTTGGATCACGTTTGCATCAAAGAATTCTCGAGTCCAAACTCGAATTCTATCTTAATCGTTTTAAGCTATGGGAGTACTGAAACAGTAAAAGGACAGATGAGGACCGTACCAACAACGCAGACAAATTCAATCTGGCTATCGCTTGACATGTTCAGGAAAAATACGAGAAAAACTATATGATCCAGTCATCCAGCGCCATTGTGTTCTTCCTTGTCCTGATAAAGCAGAGCAGCAAGACAAGCATGTGATTTGCAGCGCATAAAAAAATGATAAAAAACCTTGAGTTCTCGGATAGCTTCTTCAAGCATTTTTTTTACAACAAGCTTCTTCAAGCAGTTGAAAGGGCAGAAACCCACGCTGACGCTTGCTACACGTTCTGCACATGTTCGGTTCGGTTCCATTTCTAGTTTTCTAAGCTCGTTTCCAGCAGCTGCACTGCACATCGACCATCTCACCGGCACATGCGAAGCGAACCATCCTGCTAAAATTTTACAACTACAAAGGCGGCAGCAACTTGTCCCCGAAACCCCAATCCCGTGCATCCGATTTGGGCTAAATTACTGGCGACTTTGACGAGTTCGGAGTTCCGGTGTCTTGCTGAACATTTCTTTCCCCAGCACCTTTGACCACCGCGGCACTCGCTGTTTGCCTTTACAAAATCATGGGCGCTGCAACTAGTTCAAAGCATCAACCATCAAGCAAGAGTGTCCTAGCTTCCACGAAGCAAGCGGCAGCCACTAACCCTCCTTCTCTTTATATATATATATGACCGGTAAAAGACAATCATCTCCTACTCATGCTCATCCGGAGATCGATCGTCTCGTCCGCTGTCCAACCCCACGCGCGCGCACCCACCTCGCCATTGACTTGCGCAGCGCGCGCGGGTCTGCGTGTCTTCTCCTACAAAATCAGCAGGCTGAAAGGCTCGATCCACTCTGCCAGATCGCTTGGTTTCCCACTGTGATTTCTTGTTGGTTCCCGGCCGGCTTTCTTCGTGCTCTGCGGCGGAGGACAGAGTGGAGAGATGAGCAGCAAGAAGGCGGCGGAGGGCAGCAGCAAGCTGGGGCGGTGGCTGGGCGCGCCGGTGCGGGCGCTGTCGCGGGCGTGCGACTCGTACGTGCGCGGGATGTCGGCCTGCGCGGGGCGGATGCCGATGCCCGAGGGTGCGTACGCCGGCCGCGGCGGGCTCGCGCCGGGGACCTTGCATGCCGCGACGTTCTCCCGGAGCCGCGGCGGGGACGAGGAGGACCTCAACGAGCTCGTTCGCGCCTTGTCCCTGAGCCAGGCGGCGGCTTCGGCGGCGGCGACGACGGTCCCGGTCCGCAGCCGGAGCGTGGCGGTGGGGCGGATCGACGAGGACGCGCCGTGCGAGTTCGGCGCCGACGACGTCGTGCGCATCGGCGGCCCCGCCGTGCGCAGGGCCCGCAGCGTCGCCCTGGGCAGCGCCGGCCTCGACGCCCGCACTGGGTACGGCCCCGCATACAAGCTGGGAGCGGGCGTCGTGCGCGGCTGATCCGTCAGGTCCGTTCGTCGGCGCATGCAAGCAACGGCGGCGCCGGCAAGGCGGCAATGTCCTGTCTTACGTGTGCATAACTAGCTCGACTTCTTCAGTGTTCGTAGCTCTTAGTGCTAAAGTACATCATCTCAGTTGTTGTTTCCTGCGTGATGTTTGTTTAGTGATCTGGATTTATCACAACTTGGCGGTGGCGGCCATGCGAGCAAGGGACGCTAGCGCCACACATGCGTGTGAAAGATCGGAACGTGTGTCCAAGCAACGATCTGGTGTACAATATACAATCTACGTACCTACCGTACTAGCTATTGTGAACTCGTACGAATCGGTCGCCATTGTTTTACCTTCGGCGTATGTTTAGGGTACTCTGCAATAGTTAAACTCGTCCTCGCTTCTCAGCATGCATTACGTACTCTGCTAGAAAGGATGAGCATTTCCAATGTTTTTTTTCCTGTGCAATTAGTTTTATAATTAGCTCATATTTACTCATCATAGTTAATATCCGAACGATGTGACACGACTAAACTTTTGCCCTGAATTTAGAATGTGTCGTTGTCCGTGAGTATTATCTTTGCGTACAGTATGCAAGGGTCTGCATCAGTGCACAGGTGTTTGGATACAGGCATTCGTGTGAGTTGACAATGTTGGAGGGAGAGAGGTTATTTTCCGATGTGACTAGCTGACTTCGGACAGAGATTGTATAACCGAATCGATTCATGGGCCCATAGCTACGCGCTGCTGACCTGCAGCTGCATGCCTGCATCGTCACACCCGGCAAGCGATGCCGCCGGTGAGCACGCAGCGCCGTCTCGCGCGGCCGCGCCTTGGTTGGAACGCGGCTGGCGCCGTGGACCTGGCCGTCGGCACGCACGATGCCCATGCCACCATCTCCGAGACTGATGGGGCGCGACCAGATCTTGCTTGCTCGAAGCTCTCGTTTGGTTACAAAAGGATTTTAAGTATTAATCTAGATATACAAAATTTGATGTGTTTTATTTTTTTGGATTTTGTGTGTCTGTGTTAAAAAATCTACTAAAATCTGACCTGTTTGGATGAGATTTTAGAATTCTAAGATTCCTTTATCCAAAGTTGCCACAACACAGCGCTGTCGGCCTAGTTTCCAGGACACCTTCACGGCGTAGCTGTGGTCTGCCGTGTCAAACTGTTCAAACACAAGGGTTCTAATTTCTGTATGCTCCTACCTGCAGAGAACCATTAAAAAAAAGATAAAAATTGCAGAAGACAAACAGCACAAAAAAAAAATCTCTAGCTTCGCACTTGCAGTGCTGGATCGACAAATTTTATATTTCAAAAACAAAGTTAGCAACGAATGGACCAACTTTTTATAATCCAAAGACAAAGGCAGATTCTTGGATTTGGAACGTCATCCAAATCCCTAAAATTTACTACTGCACGCACATTATGTAATGTTCTGCGGAACTTCGTTACGTTGAAGGTTGATGGTTACTGTGTATAGTTGACTTCAGCCTTTTAACAGCGCCTCATTGGCTAGGCCTTCTATTCAGATTTATGTTAGAATTATACTCAACTTGTGCTAGAGTTATAATGATTATTTTGGTACAATTTTAGTTAAATAGGTGTAACTAAAATTTCGGGTATCCATGCGTCCAATTTTTTCCTTAACATGCTCAAGAAGATTTTGATATTCTCCTCATTGATAATACTCAAATTCCAACTGACCTCCCCATTTGCTAATTTGGTGTGGGATTTGGCTTGAGATTTGTGCTGAAATCCTTATTTCCTGTGTACAATAGGCCTTGATCTATATGTTTGTATTGATGTTGAATTGCATATCACAAAGCTAGATATCAACAAGGTTTGAGAGTAATTAGCAAGTTTCTCAGTGAATTGCAATCACATTAGTTCCAAACACAACCAATCGATTGTCTCTCTTGAAATATAAAGGATTCATACTTATAATGTAGCTGGTCAACTATAAAATCATTTATATTTTAAGACAGAGGTACTCCCTCCGTTCCAAATTATAGTTTGTTTGATTTTTTTGACTCTAAGTTTGACCACTCGTTTTATTCAAAAAATTTGTACAAACATAGTTAAATTTAAGTCATTCTTGAAGAACTTTTGTTAATAAAGCAAGCCACAACACAAGAAGTGATATTTTTCACAAATTTTTGAATAAGACGAGTTGTCAAACTTGGGGTCGAAAAAGTCAAACGAACTATAATTTGGAACGGATTTAGTAGTAGATTTCTGCAATGTTTACATTACACTTGAAATCACTTTAACAGCGCCTCATTTTACGTTGTTCTTGTTGTTCAGACGTCGGAACCAAATATATGCACGAAAGTTAAACCACCTTTACTCCCAGTTTGCTTATTGAGAAATTCTATAAGCAGATCACATTCACTTCATTGAACATATTTTGTGAACTTTAAGAAATTTCCATGACATGTGAAGTCATGTTTTTCTCTTCTGGTGTTCTCAATTACCTATTAGATGGTTCGGTCAAAAAAAAACATTACCTATTAGATGAGTTGTAGAGTCAACTGAGCCTAGTTCAGGTGGTTAGCCCAATCGTGTTCAAGTTCTCGAGACTTGGCACAGGTGTTCTTATTTTACTAGATTTATACCAAAACTTTAACGGCGTTGTGCTTTCAGCGGTAGGTAATGTTTCTCGCATCATCCAATCACTGAAAACACAACGCATCATCTACCCACTAGAAACCATGCGCGGCGTTGCCGCGCTCCTGCCTGGGCCAGTCCATGATGCGTGGTAGAGACCATCTGTGTGGGTGCCAGCTCATGCTCCTTCGCTGCTGCTTGCATCCATCAATATTATTGATTTCTGAATGAGAAAATACAGTGATGCAAAATGGTAATAATTGAAAATAGCAAATAATTACATTTGACACTACGATGATAATATGCAATTTGCGACTTTCTAAAGGTGTAGCAAGTATAGATCTTACTTTGAGTGTGTAAACAACAAATAAACAATCCAACTCACAGTCCCTATCCTTGTTAGAGCACCCAGCCGGATATATTTTTAGTCCTGCTTTGATGTGGCTGGTAGATCAATCTGGACTTGAGGACATGAACTCTAAAGTTTTTGACATATAGGAGCAACAAGTAACTAAATATAAAAATATGTGCAAGCTGATAATGTTGGTAGCTGAATATACTTCGACCAGGATCTGAGTAGCTGACACATGTGTTTGTCAAAGTAGCAGAACACATGGATATGTAAGTGTAGAGCACAGTTAAAAAAGAGAGAAATCAGAACAGGAGAAATATGTGTTTGATACCTGAAGTTGCTTGGCATAGTGGAGTAGGTCCTTGGTGATGTCACTTTGCCAAGCGATGTGCCCTTACTAGCTGTGCTTGGAGATGACTGCAGAGTGGCAGCCCCTCAGCATCACATTGAAAAGCTAGTTCCTGCATTACCATGCCGCTGTGCGTGCAGCTGGAGAAGACAATGTTCCACGCGAAGAATGTCTGCTGCGGCATTTCATCAAACAACTTCTGAGCATAAGCACGTCATTGATCTTGGCGTTGATGATTAGATGTCAGGCCCTTCCCCCGTAGCATTGCTGGCCCGACAGCATTGCGAGCACAACTTTGTATCTCGGGCGGCCGGGGAGATGCAAACATTCGCACCTCCATACATCACACCTTGGTAGCACAAGCAAGCGACACAACAACGATACAAAGTCAGCAGCAGGAGCACGGCTCTGCCCGCTACTGCAGCAGCCACGCGCGCTGCGCGAGCACAGGTTAGCAACTCGCGTTGCTCTCTCTCTTGCTCTATATCCTCTTTCCAGAGGCGGCGTGGAGGAAGCGTGCGCGAGCCCCGCCGTGTGGAGGCAGAGAAGGTCTGGTGTCGCTGCCCCGGCACGCGACAGCGTACGGGTCCGGCCAAACAGCCTGGCGCGTGCGGGCGTGGCGAGTTACCGGCGGCGCACGCCCACGTCAACACGGGAGCACGCGGCCCGGCGGTATGGGAACACGCACAGTCAACGCGCAGCCCAGTCGGCCACGGGAGCGCGCGGATCCTGCGGTGCGGGAAGTGGCCCCGGCACGTGAGGGTCGTGATGCAGCCACGGTACGCACGGGCTCCGCGGGCGGGAAGCGGCGCCGCCAGTCCACCACGCTTCGGCGAGGCCCCCGGCGTGCTGCTCCTGGCCATTGCGGGGCGGACCTGCTCCCCAGCGTGGCGGCGTGATGGCCATGGCAGGGTGAGGCGCCCTCGGCCACTGGCGCGACGGCGTGGTGGCCCCATCGCGGCCGTGGCCGGCTCTACGGTCCGGGATGCGGCCGCCGGCCGGAGGCGACGTGCCGCTTGCGACTGCAGAGGGAAATTTACGTATTTACCATTATAACGATGATGAATCGTCCGTTTCTCCTCGTTAGGATGGAAATTACATATTCAGTAGATGAGAGAAGTTTGAAGTTTGATTTTATCATATTTACACATGTGGCACGCCACAGCGGCCTGACACGCTGGCGCACGGTTAGCATGGGCACAAAAAGACGTCGTTGCCCCTGGCCATTTCTTCACTACGCCACGCTGGGCCTGCCCTCGCCTTCTCCCTCTCTCATTTCGTTCCCCCGCCGCCGCCGCCTTCTTCCCCAGCCCGCCGCCGCCTCCTGCTCCCATCCCACAGTCCCAGCGCCTTCCGAAGCTATGTCGTGAGCTCCGTGCGCGAGTGGGGCGTCTAGGAGGTAGGAAAGAGGTGTGAGCTCCATGCTCGCCCAGTCTTTGGCATATCCAGCGAGTAAAGAAATTGGGCTTCCTTTGATTATGTGCCCTGATTGTTCGTTGGCCCGTGTGATCGAGCTTCGCGTTGTCAAGCAAGACTCTCCCAACAGGGGACTTCTTCAAATGTCCAAGAAATGGGGTCAGTTATGGTGTTTGTGCTTTTTTCATTGTTTGTTTGAGTTAAAATCTAGGGTTTAAGTGTTCTGAAACTTTCTTTGCAGAATCCAAAGTTACGTGGCTTCTATAGGTTCCAGAAGGAGTATTTTGATGAGTTGGTTCATAAGAAGATCATCAGGGTCAGCTGTGAGCAGATTGAGGAGATTGAGGAACCGAAAACTGTCAAAGATGAGGGTGTGAAGGACCTGGAGAAGAAGTTGGAGAAAATGATGTGGAAAATGAATTGTTTCATTGTTTGTCTTGCAATTGTTGTATTTGGTGTTTTAGTCAAATCCATTGTAATGGCCTGATGTAGGAATGTGTTTGACAAGGAAATAAACCAGATGTTTCAATGAATCTTTCATGTCCACTTTGTTTCAATGAATGAGCATTTGCAATTGTCAATGTTTTTTCAATAACTGGCACAACACATATGGCAGTGAAGGCACATTGTGGCCAAGCAAAAAAAAAGTTGAGACACACAGAGGCAGTAGTAGAACACATGATCAAATAGGGGGCACATTGTGTCCATTGCATAACTTAGTTGTTTGTCACAACCCATCAGGGGCAAATTCTGGCCATTACTTATAGAGTTTTTTGCCTTTTGCCCATTACCCTAAACATTACACAGAATATGGGGCATTACATGCTGATTGTTTTGTGCCCATTTCATTACATAGTGCAGAAGGTCATGCAAAAGATAGGTTTTTGACCAATTACATTACACAAAAGTTTCCAAAGTTTATGGTCCTAGCATAACAACACTAGCCAGGCTCACTTGCCCTTGCCTCCTTTCTTCTTAGGTGTCACTTTCTTCACTTTAGTTGCCAACTGCTTCTTCCTAGGTGTCATTTTTTTGGCAAGCTCAATTTTCAGTTCATTTTTAGGGAATAGTGTCATGCGGGAAATTAACAGCTGCAATTAACAGGTCAAATTAACAGCTGCAATTAACAAATGAGAGAACAACAATACCTTCTAGCTGGTGTAGATGTTTCTGGGACACGAACTTCTAAGGCCATTACTTCTAGGACTTCTTGCTGGGCCTTAGCTTCTGCTTCTGCTGCTTCCCTTGCTGCCGCTTCTGCTGCAACCCTTGCTGCTGCTTTTGTTACTTCTGCTGCTTCTCTTGCTGCTACTGCTGCCTCCCTCTTAGCTTTTGCTGTAGCTTCCCTTGCCAATGCCCCTCTTGTCCTTGGAGTTCCTATGGCTTCATCACCACCAATAGCTTTCTTGGCCTTCTTCCTCCCAACCTTGACATTGGTCTTTTTTGTTCTCTTCCTGCATATGATATGGCATGATTTAAGAATTACAAAACTATGTAAATTAACAGAAGACATAAAAGAACAGAGAAGGCATCTTTTCTTGGTTCCAGTGAGGGAGCACTTCCAGCTACCAGCCCTGTGACCATATTCTTGACAGTTAGGGCACCTGACTTGCCTAGTAGCTTTGCCACCTATCTCCCTTGTTGGTTTAATCCTATTCTTCCTCAATCTACCTGCTTCTCTCTTCTTCTAGCATTGAGGGTGAAGTTTGAAGCCCTTGTCCACCTCATGCCACTGATTCCTATCAGTGATGTTAGGAATTATTCCTGCATAGGCTGCTTGAAATTTGTGCACTGAGTAGTAGCTATCCACAAAAGATCCCATGTCAGGTTGTCTCATGCTGGTAATCACAACCAATGCATGTGGACATGGTTTACCAGTGACCTGCCACTATCTACATGTGCAAATTTTCTGAGGTAAGTACACCACATGTCTTCTAACTTCTTTGTCTTTGTAGATCTCTGTCACCTCAGTTTGATTAGGGTGACCTTTGGAAATCTTCAAGTGTCCTAGTCCCCTTGAAGCTGCATTAAGTTGATGGATGACAACAGGCAGTATACCAGGAGGCAAGGCTATAGAAATCTTTCTCCTTTTAGCAAACATGATCATTATCCTCTCTCTAATAGCATCTGCCATGCAATGCACAAGCAAGTCCTTGTGCTCTTTGATCCAAGCATTCCAAGATTCTACCAAATTATTGTTGATGTAGTCACACTTGATGTCAGGAGAGAACTTACTTCTTGCCTACAGAAAAGGATGGTGCTCATTGAGCCATTTCTACAAATCTGGACTAGCTGCCAACACCTTGTCAAAAAAAAAATGGAACTTGTGTGGAGAGTATGCTCTAGCCGTAGGTCACATGTTCTTGCCATACACATCACCACTATAGAACTTCTTCAAATTTTTCATTAGGTGCCTAAAACATTCTCTCATCTCTGCCTTTGGGAACACTAGTCTAACAGCTGACTCCAAGCCCTTGCATGCATCTGTGTAGATGGCTAAATTCTCCATGGGACCAATGGCTTTTCTAAGTTGTTCCATAAACCAAACCTAATTCTCCTTTGTCTCAGAGTCAAACAGTCCAAAGGCTAGAGGAAACATCCAATTGTGGTCGTCTAGAGCTAGTGCTGTAGGCATGTGGCCATTCCACATCCCATTCAGAGATGTGGAGTCTATACTAATATAAGGCATGCAGCCATACAAAAAGCCATCTATACTAGCTTTGAATGTACAGAAGAATCTGCTAAATCTAATTTTGCCATCCACAGGATCAGTGACAGTGTCTATCTCTACCACACTACAGGTGATCTCAACTCTATCTCTGCCTTGAACCTATATAACCAATCAAAACAATCATCTCACTTACCAAATAGCTTCTCTACTGCTCTCTTGGTCCCATTGTACACTATCTGGTAGGGGATGTCAATATTGTACTTGAAATTCAACTCTTCTTTCACTTCTTTAGGCCCAATTGCTGGCTTCTTCTTCAACAATGGGATTGCTCTCTCTACAGCCCAAGCTATTGATGCCATCTTGCTGACAACCCTTCGTGTAGATGCACAATTATGGACCCCCTCATTTATCTGTATCTGCATTTTCAAACACAAAACAACCAAATAAGCAAAACAAAAAACAACATAAACAAACAAATACAGAAAGTACTCTTGTCATTGAAAAATGAAAGAAGTAACAGCAAAACATTGTAGAAAATATACCCTGACACTGCCATCATGCTGGGTTCTAGCTCTAATTTTTCATGGGAAGCCTAGAGCACCACAGCAGCCCCTGAACCTTTCTTTGTTTGAATGCTCAGTAGCAAGCTCAAACTCCTTAACTATAGCATGCTGTCTAACAGCTAGCCTAAACTCATCCACGCTAGGATAGGAAATGCCTACACTCATATTAGGATTGTCCCTGTCCCATTCATACATTGGCTCTTCCTCAATTGTGTCATCAACATTCATAGCTGCTTCATTCATATCTGCCTGACATCTCTGCGGTCATACCTAGAATTGGCACCTCTTCCCTACCAGCTGCTTCTTCTGTTGCCTTAGCTTCCTTGAATCCCATTGCCTCATATACCTTGTCCTCATCAACTAGCTATGTTGCTAGACCATCATCAGTAGGGTTCTCAAGTATTGTCAGACTACTCCAATCAACTACTGCTACAGGTTGTTCAGAAAGTAGAGATGGGGAGCTACAGGTATCACCACACCCTTCAACATCATCAGGCACATCACTTGGTTCATTGGTCACACTAGAGACACATCTAGCTTTAGAAGCAGCAGAGCTGGCATTGTTAGTACACCCATCTTTCCTCACCACATCTACTGAAAGAAAAGCCAACCCCTCATTCCATCTGTCCTCAATCATCTGGTGGACATGCTCATCCCTCCTAAGCTTCCACTCAAAGCCAGTATCTTGGTCAAGAACCTAGACTGCAAGTGTTTGAGATGGCCCCCATATCATCTTTGTGGCTAAATCCTCATGCAATTGATCTAAAGAGTACTCACTATTCCTATCAAACCATAAGTCATGTTGCTGCTCTACCATGCCACTAGCCCATACTCACCATCAGCCACATATTTAGCAACCTTAACAACTAGTCTAAACACACTGCCTAGATCTATCCTAACATCATCATAAACAATGAAACACATGAGGAACTACTCTGTTACTCAAACCAACAGTACTACACAGCTAAGTGGGTTAATGACTTACCAAGGAGGGCAATCACCGCTAAGTGGGTTAAGTGGGTTAAGGAACTACTCTGTTACTCAAACCAACAGTACTAAAACATGTCATGAGCATCATGTTTATGTGTTAATGCATGTGATAGAATGTGTAGATAAATTTCTTGTAACTTAAAATGACTAATAAAAATGTTAAACAAAAGTTGATTCAATAGTTTAGGTATATCAAGTAGGGTTTAAAACTAATTTTTATTAAGCAAAAATACTATAGAACATGTGTGTGATACTTAAATAAAGTTTGAAGTACAAACTTTGTAGATGATAGTGAAATACTTGCTGTCAAAAAATAATATTACTAGCTAATATTTTCACTAGCCTAGAAATTTCTAAGTCTGTCAACAGCTAGACATTGCTATGTTTAGCAAATTATTTTGAGAGATTGGGTTAAGGGGTGGTATAGTGTTATAGCTCGATTTGGTAGTCTCATATGCCATCTTGAGCATGGTGAAGATGGTTTGGCTCCTGGAGCAACTGTTTAGTCGTTTTGGGCGCTTTAAAATTCATGCAAGCCACAGTCTCGAGGTGGTTGGCACCGTGCGCGCGGTCACCGCGCGGCCACCCCGCACCGCGCACATGACCGCATCCCGCGCGGTCATCTCGTGCCACCACGCTGGGTCGGTCGGGCTGCCTCGGCTTGGCCGAGGTGGGCCGCAGCGAGCCGCTAGCCCCACGCCCTGCTACCCTACCTTGCGCTGCTGCCATTGGTGCCGCCATGGTTGCGCTGCGCTGCTATCGCCTCGCTGCACTGTCGACAAGCCTCGCGCCACAATGTTGCCACTGTCGTCGCTTCGTCGTCGCGTCCACGCCTGTCCGCTGTACCCCCTGTGTTGCTGTCGGCCCAGTTCAAGGCCACCACTGCCGCGCGCACGTGGTCGAGCCACCGTTGCCTTGTCATTTAAGACACTACGGCCGCGCGGGCCACGCTAGTCGGACACGCGCACGCCTTGTCTGTTGTAACACCCTCGGTGTTACACCCTAAATCATTTACTAAAACACGTCATGAGCATCATACTTATAGGGTAATGCATGTGATGAAACGAATAGGTGAAGTATTTCAACTAAAACGATCAATAAGAATGCAAAACAAAAAGTTACTCCACGATTCGTACAATTATCAAGTATGGTTGTAAAGAAATTTTTATTGAGCAAAATTACTATAGAACTTATATATGGGGCTTAAATAAAGTTTGGAGTGTGAATTTTGTAGAAGATGATGAAATACTTGCTGTTGAAAAT